ACCCATTCAAGCCGTCTTCAAACAAATATTGTAATTGTCGGAACGCTATTTGTTAGAACAATTACAATTGTTATAGCTTCAACGACGAAACACTGCATTCTTTACACGGTTCTTTACAGCTTAATTGTGTATAAGAGTATGTTTACACAGTTGTCTTCTCGGGAAATCCCTAAAGGGTGTATGTTTTCTTATAGCAAAGCCTCATCGGGCTTTTTGCTGTGTCCACCGTTGTAAATCCGAAGACTTACAGCTGTCCCACCGGAGGACAATCACTAAAGAACAGGATAAAGAATGCAGTGTTTCAAAACACAGTAGGTCTAATACTATTGTTTTATGACAAATATAATTGATTAAAATGTATTATTGACGTTGCTACGTTATTATTCTAATTTGTAAGTCAAAGACAAATGGTGAATGGAATGATATATTGGGTTTCATATTTATTTTTAGTACTTTAAAAATCAATTTGGTAGTTGTTAACAACAACAACAACAACAAAAAGTGGGAATCCTTCCTCACAAGCGAGTTACGAGTTACGACTGTTAATTCTATTTTCTTCTTCTGTTATGTAGCTTTTATTTTGTATTTCCAGTACCACTGAAGTACTCTTTTCTGCAAATAGTTTACTTGAAACGTGTTGTATATATGAAATAGTTAAATGAATGCATCTGCTAGTTTGGTTTCTGTCCAAAATACGCTTTGGGAACAGAAAGTTTAAATGGAAGTTACGTAATTAACTCTATTCCACATAGGTCCTGTAGCTTATACCAACAAAATACGTATTCGATTTAAATATATATATATTTTACCTTTACTCATTCAATACTTAAAGTACCTTCAACTAACCGTCTTCCCAGCATTATCGTATTGCAATTAAATTAGACCCGGTGGTGCCACGTTTTAACATATTACGTGCGGAAATTAAGTTTCTTTCTTTATTCGAATTTCCTTTGCTACCATCAAAAGAACGTTTATAACTTGTAAGCCTGGTTTCTGCCTTCAGTTTTTATACTACCTTGTTCGTTGCGAGAAAGATTCTTTGTTTGCATTATGCTTTGAAATGAGCCATGGTCGCTTTGCCCGCTGCCAATAAAGGAAAATGCATCTGGGAGGTTGACCAGTTTTTCAAAATGAATCCCATCAAATTACCAGAGAAGGACGTAAGACGTCTTTAAAGTTGCACAATACCAGTCTTCTTGTGAGGTATTTCAACGAAACACCCAAACTATTTATAAAAGCCAACGTCATCCTTCTTACCTTTTTCATTTGTTAAAAATTTCCTTCTTAAATTCAGCAGAGCTACGAAGACTAAAACAACTTCCCAATTACTTGTAGCGTCTCTCTTCTACAGCGTGTTTTTCTTTGAATTCGCGGGTTCGCTACTATTATTTTTTCTAGAAATTTTCAAAATCTGATATTTTCCAAATATCAGTAATTTATTTTTACAATTTTATTATTATTTATGATATCAGGCCAAAACTAGGTTTCTAAATTAATGGACGCGAGAAAAAATGCAAAGAAAAGTCATGTCAAACATCTTTGGATATGCTATGACGCACAAAATTCCGGTTCTGACGATAGTGAAGAAAGCTTGGTGTCGATATTTTCGGGGCAAGTCCTATTTTTAGGGCTTTGCGGTTATACTGCTGAAAATCTGCGCTGGAAGATGAGGACGTTGATATTAATCAAGAACAACCTAATACAGAACTAAAAGTTGTCTAAAAGATACATTGTGGAAGAGATCGTTCTTTTTTTTTCCATTTTCTAATTTCTAGTACTTTAATCTGAAAAGCAAACCTCTTAGTTTAATGAAATGAGACATTTCGTTCCACAAAAGACTGCAGGGAGGACTTATTTTTATAATGGACTGAATACTGAAAATAACACAGATGATAATAATAAGTTCTGAATGTGGGCCTAATTTGCTGAAAACGTCGAGTTTCGCCAGGGGAAAAAACTATAGTTTAAAGATTAAATAATTTTGTATAACATAGATACTAAAACAAATTTATCATTAATCAGTTAGAATATTTTAGCTTAAGTCATCCAATTTCTGCTAATTACATAATGTTAGCGCTTAATCTTAAGGTCACATTGGGCAGAGTTTGTATTCCAACAAACACTTTATTTTGATACAATTTATTTCTTTACTTGTTGGGTGTGTAATGATCAGTTTTCAAACACAATAAAACGTTAAACAAATATAACATTCGTTGACGGTATTCTTACCTAACAGTATCATGATCATGGGATATAATTATAGCATATAACCTACCGTTATATTCTGTCGTATAGAAGCATGAAAAAGAAAAAAAACGAGAAAATGCTGTAAGAAAACAAACCTTACATAAAACTAATTATCAAAGGTGTCATAAATATAAATGTCTTTTTAACAATGTTATACTTGAATAATAATAAGTTTTTCTTTTCATGATATGTACACAACACATACACACAAATCATATATATATATATATATATATACAATGAAATTGTGGAAACTCTGCTCATGTCCAGTTGATTAATATTAGATATATCAACTACCTTTTATTTTTTAAATTCGTTGTTCGGTTTCTGTGGTCTCATTTTGATTTTTTGATACAAGAATACTTAGAGTTTGCGCAAATTACAGAAATAACAAACAGTACTTTGTAACTTCGCGCAAGTCACAGAAACCCCAGTTTGTAACATCTCGCTAATTATATAAACAACAGTTTGTAACTAAAGATGTTATATCATTCAATTGTTAAAGTTGTGTCATTTAAAACACGAACATACTATTCCCATACACAAAATTGAAATTTCAAAACAGTTAGATAAAAACAAATCTGCACACACAAACATGTCTTATATATATTACAATTACATGTTTATAAGCGCATGGGTGGGACCAGAAACTTCTGCTAAGATCGAAAATTTACGAGCGTTAACAAATTTTTTTACACCGACTTTCTGATACAATAGTGAATTCATTACCAGTACTAGTATAATAGGAAAAATAGCAGTGCGCAGGCGTGAGAATGTATTTTAAAAGAAACTCTATGATGAAACGTCCCCTGGTGAGACAGCGGTAAGTTTATGGACTTGTAACTCTAAATTCCAGGGTTCGGTTCCCCGTGGTGGACACAGCAGATAGCTGAATGTGGCCTTGTTCTGAAGCAAACAAACAAACTATGATGAAACGAAATGAAACAGAGCCAGATAGACGAACCAAGTCTTTTTCTCTCTTTTTCGCAAGATTGGTTTCGTTCTATTCAAAACTACTAGTACGAATTTCCGTACCTTTTCCGCTAGCGTGAAAGTCTCCAACGCTTTTTGATTACACTAGCTTTTTTCAATAACTTATTTATTTAATTAAAAATACAAGACTTCAGGGCCGTGTCTACCGGAGGGAGGGGAAGACAGCAGACTCTCGTTGGAGAGATCTGGTTCCTCAGCAGTCCCCCATCTGAGATATGGTCTTTTAATATTTCTATATTATGTGATTCCCATTGACAGTAAAGTGATAAGTTCTTCTCTCCCCATCCCTCCTTTCAATGAAAAATTCTGGAAAGTCTGCACATCTTAAACAGTGGAAGAGCTGATTCTTTGTTCTTAACTCTTTCAGCACGGGCTCGATCCCTGGGACCGACCTCGTAACCATTTTGTGCTTGTTATAGTTTTCATGCTATAGCTTTTAAATTAGTAAACAAATGTTAACGGAATTTGGCAGATTATCAGTAAACATTACAATGCTTTCATACGCAAAATATCATTTTTTATTAAGTCTTAAGCTTTGTAAAGCAATGTTTTTGTCATGTCTTTTTTTCTTTTAGCATGTTGCCAATCTATCAGCCTGGCATGACCAGG